CTTTAATGAAATTGGAAGGAAAGCAATACTCCCAAATTCATTCCTGGAAGCAAGCATTACCCTGATATCAAAACCAGAGAAGGACCCAACTAAGAAAGAAAATTACAGACCAATCTGCTTAATGAACATAGATGTTACAATCCTCAATAAGATAGTGACAAACAGAATGCAAAAAATCATCAAGAAAATTGTACACCATAACCAAGTGGAATTTATCCCAGAGATGCAGAGATGGTTCAACACGCATAAATCAATAAATGTGATACACCATATTAACAGAGTCAAAGACAAACATCATATAAAGATTTCAATACATGCAAAAAAAACTTTTGTCAAAGTTTACCACCCATTCATGATAAAAAAGAACCCTACATAAAATTGGAATAGATGGTCTTTAACTCAATCTGATAAAAGCCATCTATGACAATACAACAACCAACATCATAATAAATGTCAAAAACTGAAAGCTTTCTCTCTAAAATCAAGACAAGGATGTCCACTGTCTCTACTCTTATTCAACATAGTCCTGGAAACTTTAGCCAGAGCAATTAGACAAAAGAAACAAATAAAAGGAATAATGATAGGAAAGGAAGAAGTTATATTATCATTGTTTGCAGATGGCATGACATTTTACATAGAAGACCCCAAAACTCCATTAAAAAACTGTTAAATTTAATAAGCAAATTCAGTAGTGTAGCAGAATATAAAAGCAACACTCAAAAATCAATAGACTTCCTGTACATGAATAGTAAACCCACTGAGAAAGAAATTAGGGAAACAACACCTTTCACAATAGCATCCAAAAAAGTGAAATACCTCAGAATAAATCTAACAAAGAAAGTAAAAGACCTCTGCAGTGAAATCTACAATACTCTGAAAAAACATTGAAGTGGATATCACAAAATAAAAAGATATCCCTTGCTCTTGAGTGGGAAGAGCCAGTATAGTGAAAATTACCATGCTTCCAAAACTATTCTACAGATTTAATGCAATCCCAATCAAAATTCCAATAGCATTTCTCACAGAATTAGAGAAAGCAATCCTAAAATTTATTTGGAACCAGAAGAGACCTAGAAGAGCAAACATAATTCTGAGCAACAAAGACAAGGCAGAGGGCATCACAATCTCTGACTTGAAATTATACTATCAAGCTACAGTGAGGCCAGGTGTGGTAGTGCACACCTGTAATCCCAGCACTCCACAGTCTGAGGCAGGGGGAACTTTGTGAGTTTGAGATCAGCCTGGGCAACAAAACGGGTTCAAAAACAACCTGAACTGCATAGCAAAATGATGTCTCAAAAAGACAAAAGAAAAAAAAAAAAAGAGAAGAAATATAAGTCTAGTGTGATGAAAAGAGCGTGGTACTGGCAAAAAATAGACCCAAAGATCAAGGAAACAGATTAGAAGATGCAGAAACAAATCCAGACATACTCAGCCACCTTGTCTCTGACAAAGGTGCCTAACACATTCACTGGAAGAAAGGTAACATCTATAATAAATGGTGCTGGAAAAACTGGCTTGCCACATGCCAAAGACTGAAACTAGATCCATGTCTATCACCATGCACTAAACTGAATTTGAAATGAATCAAAGATCTAAATATT